CCCAATCCGTCTTCCATCTGCCTCCTGACAGTGTTCAACTCTGACAGTCTGCCCAACTCCGACAATAATCCCATCTCTGACAGTTCAGCACCCTGCCCTAGGGTGCCCCAGACTCCCCAACCAATCCCTTCCTTCCATTCCTTCATTGTTGCCTTGTTGTTGCCTTTCTGTGTTGTGTATCTGCACACATGGGATAGCATGGGAACTTTCTGAGCAAGCAGCTTGCCCAGAATGTTCCCACGGGTCACAGCCACAGTTCTGGGCGAGCAACTTGCCCAGAACGTTCCCACGCTTACTGGGCACTGCCACCTGGATGTTCCCTCCGGGTCACACTACACAACTCTAGGAGCTGTATAGTTGTGGGCATGTGACCCATTCCTTTATATAGCAACCATGCGGGGAGATGAGACCTTTACCCTTCTTCTCATCTCATGCCCCGCATAGGCAAGTGTATATATTCCCTTCCTTTTACTATACATCTCATGCCCCACATAGTGTGAGGACAGGTCAGATGGGGGTTGAGGTCAGGGAGCCTCCGAGTCCAAGGCCGGGCCCTGACAGTTCTAGCATATGGTGAACTTGCGTGAGAATGATGACGACCATCACTATGAGGTGGTGGAGCAAGGAGAAGGGTATGTATGATGACCCCAGTGAGCAAGATGGGCACGGTAGAGTGCATCAGACTGTGCCTGAGTCTTTATTCCCATCTAATGTACTAAGCCTTATGAGAAAGCAGATATATGTCAAGTAGGGAAGCTAGTACTTGTGTCAGTGCTAAATATAGGCCAGATTCTAGAAGTATGAGTCAAGATCAAGTGTTGAGGGACCAGCTGGGTGGTGTTTACCTCGACACATCAGGGAACAAACCATAATAAAAATCGCCATTTGTACTTTCTCTCTCCAGGATTGTCTTTAGAGCCTATAAATCGGGGATATGGTGCAGATAGTGTATTTATACAAAAATGGACAGAGGAATTTCCATGTAAGTTCCTACAAATGAAGATATGGACAAAATACACTCATTTTCTCGGTCACAACAAAGCCATTTTTGATTTTCTCAAAAATTCCTCTGTCCGATTTATATTTTAGGTCATTCTGATCAATGTTTACTAATGCAGTTTCTCTCCATTTGTTGTGTGTGGCAAGAAAGTACATGAGACATTTTTGTGACACTCGACTACGGCCTTGGGCTTACATAAGCAGAGCATGGAACTAACCTGGATTGCCCACCCCCATTTCTAGAACAGTTTTTGGACATTTCAGATGTTTCCGTTGACATTCAGATAGTGCAATTCAGTTAATGTTTTCAAAACGTTTCTAGAACATTTTTTTGGACATTTAGGACGCTTCTGAAAACGTTTTAGAATGTTTTATGGTCTAGAGACCTGTTAGGCACCCCAAAGTACCATGCTCTCACACGGCTACTTAGGGGGGTGAGATTTAGGTGACTAGCCTGCTGCAAATCCTGAAGTTTTCAGAGAAAAACTCAGTACTCACACAGCACCAAAATTGCTACATATATTGCTCTCAACCCATTCACCCACTGGTACTGCTCCCGACAAGGAGACATGTGATTATCTTTGCCACAACAAATTTACTGTCCAAGCTTTCTAAAGCATACCGCAACACAGACTCGTACCCAGTCGGAGGAGCTCCATGGATGCGCAAAATAATAGCTTTTTTACGCAATGTAAATAAACATTCTGTTAGACACTGGTCTGGGGTCGGCACCGAAGGTTGCCGATGCGGGCCGCTGTTGGCCGCGATGGCCACGATGCCTCGAACAAGGCCCGAGGGTAGGGCATTGAAAGGTTATCTTACTAGTTTGGGGATGGTAACGTTCCATTCCCCCATTCGCCTCAGGCCTCAGATGTCCGTCTAAGTATACGCTTGAATTTGCTGTATATTAACGGGGTAGAAGTAAAGGCTGATCTGCCTTTTACAGCTACCCCGAGGGTTTATATACAATCTAATGCATTCTCAGCACAAATAAATAGAGAAGCTTCTGCAATGCTAAATTAGCGTTGTGTTAGACACTGGTCCAGGGTCGGCACCGAGGGTCGCCGTTGCGGGCCGCTATAGGCCGTGATGGCCGCGATGCCTCAAACAAGGCCCGAGGGTAGGGCATTCGGCCTCAGCAACTCTAAAGGGAGTGCTGTGCCCCCTAGCTGTCTCTTGGCCCTCATTTCAGACTCACTGGGGTTGCCTTGTTGGGGTCAGGGCTTAGGGGTCGTGGTCACATCGATATTAGAGCTAAGGTAAAATAAAGTATCATACAGGATATATATAGGAGGAAAGAATGAATGGAAGCGGACCCGGGCCGAAGGCCGAAGGGTCCGGAAGCAAACAAGAATAAGGAGCGGGGTTGGCCGCATAGCGGCCGGCAATGACCGAGGGTCAAAACAAACAATAACAGATAAATAAGAGAAGGAGCGTAGGGCCGCGATAGCGGTGATGGTGTTGTAGCGGCACTGGACTCGGAGTTGGGCCAGAGTCAGGTGCGGGAATGGTAGCGGCCCTGTAGGGGCCAAGTGGGCGGGGTAGAGGAGTCGGCGATGGGCATGGTGCTGGAGGCGGACTCAGGGTGGGAAGGTTGGTGTGGCTGTGGGGAAGTCGGCCAGGTGCAGGGGAGCCTAGGGGCAATCAGGGGAGTGAGCAGGGAGTCCTCATGGAGGATAGGGCTGGGGTCAGGGCTCACGCTCACGCTCGCATAGCGGGAACGGGCTCGGGCGGCATCGGGACAGGCCGGGAACGGGCCGGAATGCACGGCCATGACACATTCTCACACTGGTACTCGACTGCTTCCGATGCTAGTCATGTTCTGTACTCAATACAAAAGATCACATGGTACGGAGTTAAACAAATATCCGATCACCTACTCCGAAACTTAGCCTGCGACACTTCGCTCCTCCGACTGGGGCAAAATGTAGGTGGCAATGCATCGGAAACACCCGACTCTCACGCTAAGCCTGAATGAGTTGTACATAGAGGTTGTGCAATGTAATTGTTAGTGTTGACACATGTGGTCATTATACCCAACCCAACCCATAGAGACTTGGAAGCACCTTGAGGGTTGTGAAATCGACAACCTGGGCATGTGCAAAAATTAACACTCCATATAATACTTCTATAGCATTCTGTAGTTGGTGCTTTGTAGTGAAGTGGTATGAGTGTGAGCTGAGGCTATGCAGCATTTTTTGGCTGTGGGTGTTCGATTCCCACTCAGTGAACCTTTTTTTCTCCTTCTTTACTCCTTAGTGTAAATGGGAGGTTGTTACAATTATTCCTGAGACCATAAAAAAAGGTTCATTGAGTGGGAATCAAACACCCGCAGCCAAAAAATGCTGCATAGCCTCAGCTCACGCTCATACCGCTTCACTACAAAGCACCAACTACAGAATGCTATAGAAGTATTATATGAAGTGTTAATTTTCGCACATGCCCAGGTTGTTGATTTCACAACCCTCAAGGTGCTTCCAAGTCTCTATGGGTTGGGTTGGGTATAATGACCGCATGTGTCAACACTAACAATTACATTGCGCAACCTCTATGTACAACTCATTCAGGCTTAGCGTGAGAGTTGGGTGTTTCCGATGCATCGCCACCTACATTTTGCCCCAGTCAGAGGAGTGAAGTGTCGTGGGCTAAGTTTCGGAGTAGGTGATCGGATATTTGTTTAACTCCGTACCATGTGATCTTTTGTATTGAGTACAGAATGTGACTAGCATCAGAAGCAGTCGAGTACCAGTGTGAGAACGTTTATTTACATTGTGTAAAAAAGCTATTATTTTGCGCGTCCACGGAGCTCCTCCGACTGGGTACGAGTCTGACCACGACAAGTCTTTCTTCGAGTTGTTGAATTATGGTAAATTATGTTCGCTCTGTGGCAGTATTATAGTGTATATGATGCCATTACTAGTCGATGTGCAGCCCTTAACAGGCACTACTAGTCAGGTGGGTGGCGGGCTTCCAACCAGTCGTAGTATTCATGGTAAGCACCTGTTTATCTTGAGCCCCTCATCCACCTGACGGGTTGCATCAGGTCTTCAAGAAGCATTTGAAGAACCCTACCAAGGAGCAACACACAAGCTGCTTATCAAGTGCCGAGATGGCACGATCTCTGAGACCATATAATTTGTCGCTATCAGTAATCCAGTCTTCGGGTATGGGAAAATCCAGAATGGTCGCCGAAGCCTCTCTCTCCGTATTTGCGATTCCAATCAATATTCGTGAGGAGCTTGGCCATGGTCTCGAAAGTGCGCAATATATCATCGCGAATCCCATATTTGCGCTCATCGATGTTAATTTTACTGCCAGCCTATCCTCCTCCAGACACAGAGTTTCGCCATTATTTTCAAGGACATCATGCAAAAAGCGATCTTCGGCTGCAGGCAGAGTATGCAATTATTTTGAGTGTGCTATTCACAAAGGCCGCCACACTTCTCAAGAAACCCAGGTTCAAATATAAAACAGGAGCAGAGCTAGCATATGAATGGGCTGAATATCTCGACGAAGGACGGACCGATACCGAAGTTGGTATGAATAGGAAAGTGTTCCTGGATTCTGTGGTGGATGGGGCATGTAAGGTGATGTCTAGAGGCATTAATAGTTGCTACCTCATGCTAAATTTCCTTGGGAAGCTCAAATTGATGGAGCTACGACCAGATGAAAGAGAAACCCAAACGAAACTGGAGGTGCTCAACACCGGAATGCAGAAGTCGTGTGACATGTTTGTTAAGGCCATGGCTAGTAATGATGGGGGAGCAGAAGTCAAATGCATCATTTACTTTGATGTGTTGGAGGAACAACCTCGAAGCATGTATTTACTATTGTTTAGTGGTAATACCTTCCTAATTCAGGCTCGTACCCAGCCGTTCTGTTTATGCTTGTTTATCTTGTCAGAACGGCTGGTGGAAAACATTTTCCCACGACAGCCGTATACTGTTATTTGTGCATATTGAATCGAACAAACAACACTCAACAAGAATATTATTGCGCAACTGATCTCACTGTCCGATATGATGAACGTCCACCAGTCCCCACTTCCTTTACCCTTTCAAGTGCCGAAGAGAGCGCGTGTAGAGGCTGTGCTTAACTCCTTCGAAGCAAATGGTCTGATATTGTATGAATTTCTCGATGCTTGCCTTAGCGATGATCTGCGTCACAACCCCACAAATCTCCATAAAATCAAGGGGTCTCTCCCTACGCTTGTTGGTCTCATTATTGAAAGGGAAAGCCTCCAAAAGTGTCTCTAAATGCTCTACTCGCTGGATCCTACCCTGTTTCTCGCTTCAGTGCTCCTTTACACTCGCCAACAACTCACGAATGAGCTCGATTGCCTAACAGACATAGCCTCTGGCTTCCATTTCTCAGCTTCATCAATGACACACAAGGAAGTTAAATTTCCATCTGTCCAGCGGATAGCGAAGAAATTCTCCCATAAAGCTCCTACTTTGTGGCATTTTATTGGCTGTCTCCTTTCAGCGACATTTACCCCTGGGGAAATTGTTGAAATGGATAAATGGGAGGACATCAACGATTTGGAAAACGAAAATAATGACGACGATGATTGCTGGTTAGATTCTAGTGGCCTCCCACCTTCGTCTCAAAGGAGCCGATCCCGTAGTGAGAAGCGGCAGTAAGGATTACAGTCTGATCTTACACCAAGTGCACCGAGTCCAGTTGCTTGCTGAGAGCCAAGGACAGTAAGTAGTGTTATGACTACTAGAATCCTTCCGCCATTATACAGCAATGGCAGTATATCAAGTTTTGCCAGAGCTGTCAAGAGCAAATCCCTCCGATGGATCTGGGCAACGACTGCTCTCAATTGGAGTCTTCCCAAAGACGTCAGCGACATTTCTCCTTATTGTATCTTCCATTGGCTCAGCATATGGGTGCGGATAGGATAGGGATGGAGTCGGTGGCCATGCCGTTCGGGAGTTTACATCGAAGTAGGTCTAAATAGTGATACACATTGAACCGACGTCGGTATAGTCACATGTAGCGCTTACATCATCCCGGATGCAATGTTTTCCACCAGTCGTTCCCCTGGAACGACTGGGTCCGAGTCTGTTCCTAATTAAGAGTCCACTATATTCTCGTCCAGCCGCCCTCAACTTGGTTCTCTCTATATGATGAAGCTCACCAGCTTACCGAACTCAGCTTACCGAACTCGTCCCACAGGAAAAGGACACGGCCCGGAGTCGCTCGCCCTATCATAATCTTGGCACATTGCTGTCTGAGCTGACAGAATTCCCTGTTTTTTTTTTTTTTTTTTTTTTTTTTTTTTCATTTTTTTATCTACGAGTTCTCATCTCCAGAAATTCACACCCTCACCCGCTAGCCATCCATCAGTTCGCATTTCTCAGGGCTTCCGCCTTTTCCCTCCTTTCACCGAGCTGCCATTCGACATATTTGCCAAAAAGGTATTTCAATCTTTGAAGGGCAAGAACAAAAAATGCAGCCTTGAAAACGTGGGCCGAACGGATGTAATGGTAGGGTTCGGACGTAGCCTGTAAGCGACTGCTACATTTGCGGCAAAATACTAAATTCGCAATAGATGGTATGTCCACCACAAAAACTGGTTGGAGCGGGGAGGATTATCTGTTATACCGTTCGCCGGAGACAAACTGATGGCGCAAGGGAACAAAGCGAAAGTATTCCATTCTCGCATTGCTGCTCTGGGGGTTCGCATCGGGATAACAACTCAAGCCTCGAGGATTACGGAATCAGAACTTGTTGAGTCTCACATGCGTGTTGTTTATGCCATCCCCGAGCATCGCGAGTTCATGCATACCGGATCGCCCTCTGAACCTATACTGGCTGAGGCAGCGGCAAGGTGTCTGAACGACCCTTTGGATGGCCGTGGAATAGAAATGCAAGGTCCAGAAATCCTAGCTCAGGCTTGTGAGAAGGGACTTCTTGCGAAGGGAGAGCGCGGGAAACTCTGCGGTCGACTTCTTGTGACCATTGCTCACGATATCGCCCTCAAACAAAGCCACTCTGTGCCAAAGAAACATTCACCTGACCCATATTCCCATCGGCCTGTCCCTGTCGTTGACTTTCTTAAGGCTCTATTTGCGAAGCCATTCGATGCTATGGTGTTGGAAGCTCAGTCGGTGACGGCCAAGGCGGACATCCCTGATTTGCAAACAGCATTTTCAAATGCTTATGTCTTTTTTTCCCATTTCGCTCTGGCCAAAAACTCTGAAATGCTGTCTGCTCCAAACCTGGCAGTAGCTCTGCTGGGTGGCATGGCCCTCCAAGCCAAAGATAATCAGAAGTCGATTGATGCTGTTATTCCTATTCATATGCGTCACGCAGCCGAGCCCATCTCACCGAAATCGACGTCAGGCATCAACTTGCGATTCAAGAACCGCAAGGAGGCTGAATATTGTCGCGTTTCTCGCGGGATCACCGTTCCGGATAACACGATGCCAGTAATATCAATCATTTTCGAGCTCGGAGACAGGGAGATGGGAGGGGAGGGGGTTGTGACCATTACTCACGAGACACATCGCGAGACTCGCGGCTCTGAAAACAAAGTGCACCCAGAAGACCACCACTATGAAATTGTCGCTTATGGCTGCACTTCGAAGACTTTCGCAGCGGTTTCACCAGCTGTTAAGCCACATTACCAGTCTATTCTCGCAGTTCCTACTATTGTTGAGGACTTTCCTCGGGCGACAAAGGGCAAAAGTTTGGAAGGCTTTGAGAACCTGAAACCGTTTTTGATGGCCTCCGAGAATTCGCGGGATGGTCAGAGCAGTTGGAACGTGATTGATTGGCTTGTACATGGCCTTCATGTCCCAGGAATACAGATCCCATATGATTCTTGTCGGGTATTGGTTTTGTTTATCTTGTCAGAACGACTCCGAGTCTGGGTCAGCAAATGAAGGGAGACGTCTGAGGTAATATTGTAACCAAAAATGGCCGCCATCCTTATGTGAAAACAATTCCTCTTGACAGTACAACCAGACTCGTACCCAGTCTGAGGAGCTCCATGGACGCGCAAAAATAATAGCTCTTTTACGCAATGCGCAATGCTTGTGCGCAATGGGCGACCTGGAACTGCGGGGCAGCGTGGCGAGTCAGTATGACTGGTATTCTGTCGGATTGGATGGAAATGACTGATGAGTGTTTTTTTGGCCGCTTTTCCAGTGTTTAACCGGAAAATGATGAGGACTCCGGACAAGGTTTTCGAGTGGGGACGCTGGTATGTTCACACCCATCTCTTGGATCGTGAAGGATGCCCAGGGGACCTGATCTTACGTCATAGTGACTACTTGTCTGTCTCAGTTGAGATTGCGTTTCTTTGCCCCCGCTTTGGGAAATGGCTTACTCTGTCGCTAACAATTGATATCTAGCGATTCTGGACCTTGTTCCACAGCTCAGACCTTTCAGGCTGCCATATGACCTATGAATAGCACGTCTACTCTTCTTTCGCTATGGGAGAGATTGTGGAACGAGCTGAACATTTGGCTAAGTGGGTGGTGGACTGATTGGAGTGTTCATATTCCATCGGTTGAACGGTTGGTAGGTCATTGTACCAGTAAGTGTACAAGTTTTCTTTTTGACTGCATCTCACTGAACACAGATGCGATGCTGATGAATTATTTGTCTTTTTTCGTCCCACAGTTCCCTATTGGGGCCAGCTGGATCGCGTGGCGATTAACAAGAGCAACTGGGTCATCAACTAATTGTTGGTTCGATCAGTGCCCTCACCATCGGAAAAGTGTTGTGCACGCGAGATTGATCATTCTTCAACCCCTCAGCTCGACGCGCATTTTTGTCCGCCACTCCCCCAATCCCTTTCCTGGGATGCCTGCACTGAAACCTTGCTCCTGTCCTTCGGCGCCCGTGCTGTTGCTAACTAATATACCTCACAGCACCGTTGTACCGCGGAAGCGATGCATGTGCACATAGGGGGAAACAGTTGCAAACACCTGCATGTCAGTGTGCAGATCCTCGCAGTGATGTCGCGATTTGGTTCGGTCTTGGAACAGCTCGACTAGCGTCATACTACTAAACTTAACTTCTGTAATTACGCTACAAGGCGCCTACAATGCTTGAAAATGTTTCGACCAAAAACTACGAAACAAGCATAAACAGAACTGTGCTTACGCCTTTTACCACAATTCAGTAGACTGGCAATTCAGTAACGTCGGTCTGCGAGTGACTCTGTGTGGAGAGTGGTGTCCTCGCCTTCCAATAAAGGGAGTGCCTGTTCCGCGATCGAACGATTGCCCTGTTGTCCTTCCAATGGACAGAACAATCCCGGGTTGCCCACACCAAGTTCAGACACATCCGTGGACGCTCGTGATCCCTCCTGGCAGTCCAAGTAACGGTGAGCACGATAAATCTTTTCCTCCATCTACTCCTATCCAAGTTTCAGTGGCATAGCTGTTGTGGAGTAAGACCCCCACCACCGCTGACTTGAGAAAGTTGACAAGGTTCGTGTACATCCACGCTTCCGACATAAAGCACCCATCCGGAAGCCAAGGCGTTGCGGTCGTGGAAAGCAATTTCATGGGCCTACCTTCATTGTTATTGCCATTTTTTCGAAAGTTGCATTGATTCTCTCACAACAGAACTCAGGTGGAAACAAGGCTGTGACATGAACAATCTAGCCAGGTTTTGATGTCCACCCGCACCGACACCGAGTTCTCCCGCAATAAACGATGCCGCCTTCCCAATTCAGGACTACGCATCCATCTTCCGTTTTCGCCCTGTTTCTTTGGTCCTCGTCTTGCGCTGCTCAGGTCATACTAATCGCCATTAGTACGTGGTTTCTTTGCCAGGTGGCACAGTTCAATGGTAAGGCCCAACCCTACTTCGATTCCGCTCCCTTGGACTGTGTTTGTCAACGACTCGTACATAAGCCCCGAATTCTCGTCCACATTGCGATCAATGTAACTTCGGGACATACGGCAGTCGGTCCATTATCTGCGGCTCTTCGGGTACACTCGAAGACTGCTCATGATGGCGAGTTTGCGTGCTAACAGCTTGGGTATTTCTGTTACTCCCTGGAATGCACTTGGTTAGGATCGTTCGACTGCCCTAAAATAGTCAACCTTGGCTCAAGCAGGATGGATCTATTCTACGAGCGGCGTACCCTAGGCGCGTTCTTCAACCTTCCTGGTCACCACCCAATTCTTAACCAAATTGCCGTGATTGCGTCGGTCTCCAAAAAAGAATTGATCGCCTTATATACCCTTCCAACTGACTAGTTCGCGCAAGCTACAGCACTCACGTTCTTCGGAGACGATCGCGTGCACAAACGGTGGTACACAGGATCGCTTATTACGATGCATGCAATGTCTTAGCACTCCAATCTGTCTCCTGTCACTATCCAGGTCAATCGCGTATCTACAGCTCAAATATTAGTTGCAATGTCTTGTCAACAAGTGGACTGATTAGACTTTTCCTAAGTTTCTGCATGTCAACTGTGGACCTAAAAACTATGAATACATTCTCGCATTACGTACCCCTACTTGTTCGCAGTCCTTGCTAAGGGTCTCCAGAAACTCACGATGTGCATGGAAGTATTCATCTCTATTCCCCGCCCATCAATACACGGACACATTCTTGGGCTTCTTAGAAATTAATCCGCTATCTGAATGGGAACCCAAGTAACAACCGGACCTTCCAAATGAAGAGCGTGAGATGTTTTTCTACACGCCACTGCCCAAGAACCCGGTGCAAGTTGAAATACAGGCCAGGTCGATATTCCAACTTTGAAATCCTCTTTGACGATGGTATGGCTTCGACTGGTGAAGTCGACCCCGACAACCTTTCTGGTTTCCATCAAATCCTACATGCGTTTTCACACAATTACTGAACGAGCCACTGAGCTTTGCATCACTAGCCATTCATCAAAAAAATCCATTGAAGAGGGTCTATCACTGCCCCCTTAACCCGTGTGCGGCGATTGTATGACCGCTCAATCTTGTCTTTTTCGTATTTTCAAATTTCGCCGACGAAAATGCCTCCTTGACGCCCTGCAGATCGATTTTCCCACCCACTTTAATGAGGAATAAGACGAGGCAACTGTTCCAGACCCAGGAAACGTGCTGGGCCGCTGCAGTGGCGACTGTAGGAGAGCGAGCACTTCTGGATGCAGGGCTCCCGCCAAACTCCGCATGGGTCATACTACTTCGCTGTGTTCAATCGATTCCACACATACGGATAGCTTGAGAGTGGTGTCTGACTGCGAGCCGTACACTTCAACCTACTGGCCACAGCGGGCCTTCTCAGACAGTTGACTTTCCATCATTTTTGTCATGGCTATGTGGGACGTTCCGGCATAAAATAATTGATTATAACGAACATTCTATTGAATTAGGATTTAGCGTTATCATGCCACTCAGAGTATATGAATCAAAACTTATGGCTACTGAGTACTTTGCCACTCCCCCTCGCCACCCATGCCCCCTTGTGGTCTCGTTCTTCGCCACAAGCGAGCAAGCAACGTGCGCCGGTATTACGTCGCATTATCGACGCAACACAAAATGCTATATCAAGGAGTTCCTTTAATCGACAATCCATGGATGTGCCCCTCCCATTCTATGACCAACCTGAGGCCGTCACTTGGCTTAAAAAGGGATCCGTAAAGGAAAAGGTGGGGTTTGCATCATTCCGCGCTTCAGCCCTCGCTCACGAAGCTCACTTCAGACTTCAAGACGCGGTGGTAAGTTGAACTTTTGAAGGCACCGTAATTGTTAACGTTGGCGCGTAGACACCGTCAAGTTGACGTACCGCATCGTAGTAGATGGCGAAGAGGCGAGCAAATCCTCATTTAAATCCGTCCCTCCCTACTTACTTTGATGACTAGGCCGTGAACAGCTCCATGAGTTTACGGGTGGGACAACCAGGTCCTATCAGAGAGCTCACCTGGGGTAGACACATTTCTTAGTTCTGGACCCAGCTACTCCCTCTAACGCTATTCGCAGCTCTCGAAAATATCCCACCGGGAAGCAGGTTGTGCTTAGAACTCACAGACTCCAACGTGCGTCATCCTCTATCAGCTTGTCCCGACTTCTTTCACCGACTCCATCATGACAGACCCGGAAACTGCTACCTTACCCTCTCGAATCCCACGTAACACTCGACGTTGAGGTTATTTCCATCAATTGAGGGGAAATCTTGTTCGAGGGTTGGAACACCACTTTCACATTCTCGAAACTTCCATCCTTCTGTACTCCATGCTCTCACCCTTACTTCGTTGAGTGAAATGCACGGTCTCTGGGATCAAATATTGGTTGTTGCTTATCTAGGCATAGGCGAAACGGGCTAACGATCATAGGGAGAAACGGGACGGTGTGTTATGTATCCATATGGGAAGATGATATTTTCTGTCAGCAACCAGAGCCTCCTGTGCCATCGGCACAAAGACCTTAACGGAATTAGCTTGGATGAGGAACACAAGCGTTCAAAGCTGAACGTGCTCTCTCATGGCGGTGGCGGAACTGAAGTATGCTTTCCAGTGATAGTTGCGTCAAAATAAGTGCCTTGTCGAAACAGGAACTCCCTGTGCGAAATTGTCTGATCAGTCGATATACAAATGCAAACTAGAACTACCCACCATTTGTGACCATTTTTCGTGACTTCCGAGGCGAGTGCCAACATCAATGTCCTGGATTTCTCAAGAAGGTGGACTTCGAGTGAGCCGTGGAATATTGCCGTATTCCTGCCTCATAAGATGCAGTGCGCGAGGCGTTTATAAAATCATTGACTTTGACACGGGAAAAACCATCAGATCCATTTGCCGGACTGTACACTTGTTTTATGGGCCTATTTCAAGAGAGTCTGCACTCCCAATGACAATCCCGGCCTATTTTGCATGTCGTCCACAGAATGGAGCTTGTAACCCCAATCCACTGGTCCAGCGCATGATTTCAACCCAGTTAGCCACAGTGTTGTACGGAACCAAGTTGATCCGGCGGGAGGGCATTTCCACTCCCGGCTTGAAAACTCCGGAGAGCGGTGCGGAGAATACTTTTGCGACGAAATGAAGCAGATTCCAATATACTCATTATTTAATTTTAAAGTGCTAGTGAAGCCAAGCTCTCCAAATGGGTCAAGGGGAGAGCGCGGCACTAATTTGACACAACAATTCAATTCAAAAGAGTCCTAACCCATCTGCTAATTTTTTGGGAGAACCTCCATAGCTTACGCGGCAGGGTTGCCTGACGGTTTGTGGTGGAAGGGCTGGACCTCCGTAAGGGTTGTGAGCGTTCGTAATCGGATGCCTAAGATTCGGGAAAATGCATTTTTGCACGTGCGGCTTCAGCGCATCCCCTGACGGAAGGTCGGGCATACCCACTATGCAGTCCAGCCGATCCACAGGGGAACTGGCCTCACTTTCCAAGATTCCGCTCCAGGTGCTGAGGACTAGTTATTGGGAATGGACTTCTTCCGGTACTTCGTTTTGTTTGTAACGCCGCAATTTTTCGTTCACTGCCGTGCGGATTTTTCCGAGAGCTTCCCTTAGAGGGCTAGTGGCAGTGGTGATATCGCTCATCGTCCTGCGGCACCTTAGTTTCCAGCACATTCGGTTCTGTAGAATCTGGTGGCGCCGTGTCGTACGGATCCGATTATTTGGGTTAGGGGCACTGTCTTCCAATTGAGAAACGGATCCGCTGTCAGAGGCTGACAAAGCGTGGTAATATTAAATATTGAATCGGCTAACCCCGCTCGCACTTCGAACCCGGGTGTATGCGGATCCTTTTGGAAGATGGATATCAACCTCACGTCACTTCGAAGCGTTAGATTAACCGAAGAATTCCCGATCGCCCTAAACCTACCCTAAAGTGCGCATATCGTGCTAGCTATATTCCAACATTTTCACTATCGGCTTTCGCCGATGATACTTCTCCAGCACGAAATCAATGGGGTTGACAATCGAATGGATTTTTTATGAGTCCTCCTTCTGCACCTGATCGTACTATTACCACGATCCCCTCACGGAAATCAAGGGTCAAGACTGAACTACCACTAGCATTATCGATCAAGACCTCATCGCCGGCCGGAGTCAAGGCTATATTGGACCGAACAGTTATGTGCACTAGCGTCGACGCGACCGACCTCCTCACGATCAATAGAGCTACCACGGCTTGGGGAGCGCAACGCTTGGGGCGCCTTCAGTACCGCCACCACGACGTTTCCAATTTAATAATAACGATAGTAGTAGCCATAGACAACAGAACAGGCGCTAGTACAGTCGCGCCGAATACCTGGCCAGGAATGCAGACCATAAGTACGCCAGACCTGTGGTGCCACTAGTTTGTGGTGGTGAGGTTGTGCTCCTACCAGCTTGCTTTGTTAGCTGGTCAGCCCTGCAACACGAATATACGCCCGAGCACCTCGAAGTGAATCATAAACCCGCAGCTCATCGTCACTGCCCGCGTACAACGCCAATGCTAGAGCTTTCACGGTCATTCGTGCTGGTAACAAGCAGCCAAACGCATAACATGTACATATACAACCATGCTAGGTATCGATCGCGAGCATGCGGAAAAGGCACAAGTAATAGCCTATACCCGCTATCAATAACTACTCCCTCGGTTGGCGAACACAAGCCAGCCAAACGCAGGCGAATGTTGTCCCTGAACGTGCACGCGTTGCATCAGGTAGTAGACTATGGCGGTGAAGTGGAAAGGCGGTGTGAAGAAGAGTGGGATCGAATCGGAGTCAGCACGAGTCGAGAAACGTTCCGCGCGTTCAGATACATGGTGAAGCCCACATAAGCATGGGAATAACACTATGAGGGTCGAGAGTACCGTCGGAGTCGACCTAGCCACCCAGTTAGCATAGATAAATGACGTGAACCGGTGATGGGCGCTCTAGTTTGTTTTTTTTTTGTATAATCCCCGACATGTTGCGCGATTGACTATCCGGGTCGTAATGCCGCAGGGGGGTGGCGGCACGTATGTACATATATGGGACTAAGTTGGGATTGGAACTGTAACTGCCAATAGCCGGCGCTCGAACGAGGCTGGGGAGAGCGGCGGGACCGCCAGTGGAGCTGAGCGTGTAGATAGCCTAGGACCAGCAAAGTCCCCAGCTGCAGATAAGTGCGAGTGCCGCGTCGACGAAAGCACAGGAACGGGTTCCAGTGTGTGCAGGATTCCAGATGTTCTACGTGTCGAGAGCACCAGTCGGTTGCGTATTTCAATAATGGAATTGACTTTGCCTCACTGTTGACAAGGTTGAAATCAAAGGCGGAACGTAAGATAAGCTGTTATGAAAAAGACCATTGCTTCATAGACGACCAGGTTTGTGCGTGAAACATCGTGCGCTGGGCGCTCCGACCGAAGGGGGGGAATATAGAAGTATATATTGAATTCATATTGAACTGCGTAACCGATAAGGGCACTCGTCCTTGACATCAATTCTGGGACACCCAACCTCGGATTTGAAACGATATTGCTTGCATTTAAACTCAGTGAATGGAAAAGCACAAGAGCAGAGGCCGTCGAGGATAGTCGCGGCGTCTTCCGACTGAGAGACTCGAACCACCCAGTAGTGCAGTGCTTTACTGCTGCTTACTAACCACAAAAGCTAGCTTCTCTCACCCACATGCATGCGAATAGCGGCAAGCTTTTGTCCATCGCATGTGAGTTTCCCCAGGCCCTTAGGGGTAACAATTCTCGTCTACCAATAGCACTGCACTGATTGGTCCAAGCCGATCTCTGAACGAGGATTGTGTCTCCAGCGCGTGAGCTTCTAAGGTTTGCCTTTCCTACGGTAGCTGATCAGCGAATCAACACACTGCTTGCTGCGGTCAATTAGATGACGGCGAAGAGACCACCAACCACATTCAACATGTCATACACCCACCAGGGAACCATTAGGGATTGGATTGGATTAGCCAAGCCACACGATATTCCCAGTTCTTATGTAGTCAGCCAGCAGCTTGTACACGATCAGGGACCCCAGAAAGGGCGAGATTGGGCCATCGACTCCGTCAGCACGCAGTTGATTGCGCCCATCAAGGATGGGCTAGCGATTAACTGGTGTATTTCACGAGCCTTCCTCCCCAGCATTCAAGGGATGACATAATTATATGATTATATACATTCTGAACTGAATCGGGCTTCTACAGTAAGCAATCCGATTGTCGCGCAAGGGTCCTGCTCAATTAGGGTGTGCCTGATACACTGTGGAACTTGGCGTGTGGCGAGTTGCGTCAGGGCAACAGCACTCTCGGGGTATGTGGTATAATAATGGAGTTATCGGAGGCGGAAATTACCATGTAACCCTGATCGTATCGCAATCTAGTACTTCGAGCCGAAACACGTATGCATATATCGTAAACCGTTCATCTGGCTTAGAACTAGAGTCGCACGAACCAGATACAACATGTCCTTCCCAGAGCGCAAGTCATAGCATGTAATATGACGCCGCTTCACGTTTTAAGCAACTAGTTTGCAAACACATTTTATGAGAAAGGGCCCGATCCCTATGCCAGCTTCGTCTAGAAAACAAACCCAATGAGCTTCTGGCCTGACCCTGGTGATCATGTTACAGGTATCGAGCATGGCCATCGATCGAACCGGTCAGCCGAGGTAGATGAGCGCGGTCTCGGACTTAACTGCACTGGGTTATAGTGGTCCTGCAATTGTATGCATAACATCACAGCATTTGGTCCACAGTTGGAACTTGTACCATTCCAACGAAACTCAAGTCTAGTAGTGGAGTTGCATCCGTCACACACACTACACACGGTGTAAAGTACTGCTAGGGAGACAGACTTGGGTCCCATGTCTTGTGCACGCCCACCTGATGACATGAATCCGAATGTTCAAACACTACAACGCCGTTTTGTGCTTGTGTGTGACAGTTGTCAAGTGGACCAGACGATGTGTCTAGGGGACAAAGCAGATTAGACCCTGCAACGTCCCAGCCAATAAAGCAATGAGTATGGCAGCTCTTCAGGTGGGGGAGAGGACTAGCGTCCGAAGTCGCCGGATAAGGTGCATTCCCCATATAGCAAACGAGCGAAAGTGGGAAATGAGTACGTGAGCATCCACAGTGGATAATAAGTGGGCCAAGGCGGGCTACTGGGTAACGGAGGGGTCCAGTTTCAAACGAATGTGATCACAATCGGGTATTCCCGGTCCCAGTCATGGGATAATCACCAGATCCAGAGGGAAAAGCACATCCCTGTGACAGATGAGAGTTGGAACGAAGCCTCACCGAGATGATAGTGGCCCGCTATAAGGACGAT